GCGCCCACGCGCAGCGGTCAACGGCGCGCGATTGGGAGATGAGCAATGGCGACGGGGGGCTGCCCGCTGGCGCGAGGGCGGAGCGGCCCATCAGGCGTGGCACTGCGCTGCGCAGGAAAGAGGAGGACGAGGTTGGTGCTTCGGCGGCCCGCCGGCGAGCGCGGGCACGGCGCCTCCTTGCTGCCGTGGCGGTAGCTGGCAAGGCCGCCAACGGCGGCCCAGGTTCCTGGCAGGACCGTGAAGCTGCTGCGCGCCCAGCCCTGCGCCTGGCCGCCTCGGGATGCCGTGTCCCAGGCGCGACGCGGCGGAGGCGGAACGCCGCGTGGAACGCGCTGGTGGCCCCTGCGGGCGGATTCGCGCGCGCGCCCGCAAAGGGCATCTCGCGGGCCGCGGCAGGCCCCCGCCAGGGACGGCGGCGCGCGAACCCCGCGGTGCTTGACGAGGCGCCCGGCCACGCGAAGGACGGGATCGTCGAGGAGCACGCCGACGACGAGGAGCCGGCCGACCCCCTCCAGGCGAGGATGGCCGGTGCGCTCACGGCTCGCTCGGCGGCGGGGCTCGTCGCGCAGCTGCAGGCCCTGCGCGAGCAGTCGCGCCCGCGGCGGCGCGCCGCCTGTCCACCACCCTCCACCCCCACGCTGGAGGTCATCAGCGAGGATGTCGGCGAGACCGTGGACGAGGAGTTCGGGCCCGAGGGGGAAGCGGAGGCGCTGTACGTGGCGTTCCCTGGCGGCGACGCGCACGCGCAGGAGGGCCCCTGCCAGCTGCCGCCAGCCCCGACGGCGTCCCCCGTTCGACGAGGCCGCGACGGAGCTCGTGTCGCACGAGGGTGTGGTTGCGTACGGGACGTGGGCCAGCCTCCCCATGGACGCCTTTCAGGGACCCGTGCAAGGCGCGGGCGGCCTTCGGGAGGTCACCGACGCCGTTTGCGCGGCGGCGAGCTCAGATCACGGCCGTCGGCTGCGATGAGTTCGACGGCGAGTTGCTGCTGGCGGGGCTGGGCTTCGTCGTGGAGGGGCGCGTGGAGGTCGGGCCCTTGCTTGGAGCCGATAGCGCCGCCCGTTCGCTGCAGCGCGCGCGGTAGCGTTCTGCTCGTGGAGCCAGGCGGGTCCGAAGATCACGAGTGCTTGCAACGAGCGTCTGGCCCTCGGAGGGGGGAGGGACCCCGTGGCGTAGGCTGTGCCCCGCGGGGCTCGGCATACGCCAGGGTTCACTCCCTCCCGCCCCTCTCGGGCTTGCTGTGCTCGCGGCGCCGAGCGGGCCCGAGGATCGCGAATGCCTGCGACGAGCGTCTGGCCCTCGGAGGGGGGAGGGGCCCCGTGGCGTAGGCTGTGCCCCTCGGGGCTCGGCGCACGCCTGGGTTCCCCCCCCCGCCCCTCTTGGGCCTGTTGTGCATCATTGCTCTGCAGTTTGCTGCGTGCCAGCCCGCCTTTCGTGCGCGTGCTTCTGTGGCGGGCTGAGTCTCTGCCTGCCTGGTTATGTCGATCGTCTGCTTCGGCCGAGGCGGTTGCCTGCTCTGGGCACTCGTGAGAATCTGCGTGTCGCACGAGATTGGGCGTTGCCTCCGCGGGACCTCAGGGGAACGGCTCGGCTCGAGGGGCAGTGCGAGCTAAGAGCCCCTGACCATTTCAGCCGCGGGGATTGCCATCATCATCGCCATCATCATCATCATCACCAGCAGCAGCAGCATCATCATGATTGTCATCATCACCACCATCACCGTTACCATTACTATCACCGTCACCGTCACCGCCATCGTCATCACCACCACCACCATCATCATCGCCATCATCATCCGCATCAGCATCACCAGCATCTCCATCGTCACCATCACCACCATCACCATCATCAGCAGCAACATCCTCATCACCATCGCGGTAGTCTTCCTTCAGCTGGCGATGCTGACCGTAAAGTCCTTGAAGCGGCTGATCATCCTGAGGTTCCGTGCGCTCGTGTTTTGCTTCCTGCCGGTGCTAGGGACAAACCTCCTGATGGTCGCGCGCGTTCCGATGGTCCTTGGCTTCCTGACTGCCGAGCGCTTCCTGATGGCCGTGAGCTTCCTGAAGGTCGCGGCCTTCGCGATGGTCGCGAACTTCTTGGAGTGCGCGATGCTCCGGCTGTTCATGACGGCCTGTGGCGTGGGCCTGCTGGTGTTCCTGCTGTGGGTACCCTTGGGACGCGTGCCGGATGCTCTTCCGTGGTTGGGCTGTTCGGAGCTTCGTGAGGACCGTGGGCTTTACGAGCTTCCAGATGGTCGCGAGCTGTCTTTTGTCAGGTTAATCCTGATGTCCGCGTGCCTCCTGATGGTCGTGGGCTTCTTGAGGGTCGTGAACTTCTGGAGTTGTCTGACGGTCGTGTGCCCGTTCTGCTGGTCGTGTGCTTCCTGATGATCGTGCGCTTCCTCATGGTCGTGAGCCTTGCATTGATGATTGTGCGCTTCCTGATGGTCGTGGGCATCCTGCTGAACATGTGCCCCCTGTTGGTGCTTGCCGAGTTGTTCAAGATGGTCTTGAGCCTCCTGCGGGTCGTGCCCCACCTGATGGCCGTGCCATTCCTGCTGGTCGTGTGCTTAGTGATGGTCGTGGGTTTCCAGATGGTCGTCTGCTTTTGGTGGCCGTCAGTCTCCCGACTGTCCTGTGCTTCGCCTTGATTGTGGTGCGCTATTGATGGTCGTGAGCGCCCTGTTGGGCATGCGCGCCCTGCTGGTTATGGTCGGGGGGGGGCTTCCTGTCGAGTTCTGCTCCCTGGTGATCGTGAGCCTGTTGGTGGTCGTGATCTTCCTGATGATCGTGGGCTTCATAATTTTCGCGTGCTTCCCGGTGATCGTGAGCTTTGCGAGGATGGTGGTGCGCTTCTTGTTGGGCGTGATGCGCTTCCTGCTGGTGCCGGCCGTGGGTTGCACGTTGGTCTTGAGCTTCCTTCTGGTCGTGAGCTTCCTGATGGCCGTGTCCAGAGGGTCGTGGGCCTCCTGCTGGTCGTTGGCTTCAGCATCCTCGCGTGCATATCGAGGAGCGGTGGATGTTGTTTGGAGGCAGGCCGTGCGCTCTGAGTCTTGAGTGGCCGGCGGCCACAGTAGCTGCTCCATCTTTTTCGACCTTCGTAAGTTAAATGGAAACATTGATATGGGTGAGTGGGGAGCTCGTTGCGTTCGTTGCAGCTGTCCCTTCGCTCTTGCTAGGCTCGCCCTCTTCGCCAGCGAGTGCGCCCGCTGCCCCTGTGTGGGAGGACGGATTGAAGGCTCTTGCTTTGTGCAGAAAGGGGTGCTAGCGGGCCGTTCCATGGCCGCCGCCTTCATGCGAGTTAACGGCATGGAAGGTCATGGCTGCGTAACTCCCCAGCTGTCTCTCGACATGCACCTCTACATAAACGATTAAGGCCACTCATGCCGCCCGCCGCCCGCCCCCCCCCCCCCCCGAGGAGGTCCAGCGTCGCGTCGAGGGCCCGCGAGCTCCGCTCGATCGTCGAGGGCGTGTTGGGCTGCAGCTTCGCTCAGGACAGAACGCATATTGTTTCCTCGTCGACGTTCGTTAGTGAGCAGGTTGTTTCTCAGGTTTCGGATCTGCGTCAACTCAGGAGTGGTTTACACGGCTGGCCGCGCCATCATATGTAAAGGGGGAACGTTGAGCTCGAGTCGAGGATCGCCGCTGCCCCTCGCAAGGCCAAGCGACTCAGCGCGGCTCGCCCTACTTCGAAGCTTCGCTCGCTCGCCACCTCGGCCATCCTCGATGAGGGCCCCTGCTGGCGTCTAGCGCGTTCTCCCAATGTCAGATGGTCGAAGGACGCATGGCTGGCACAGACGGCAGCGTTTCAATGGTCTCTCAGGCTTCCTGAATTCAGGCGCGCCTGGGGCGCTGTCTTCGGCCGCGAGGCCTGTTCCTGGCGCGCCGCCCCAGGGCTTGCGTTGGCCGTGCGCGCGTCGCTCTCCGGGATCGGCTGGGTGATGTCTGACTTTATGACCATTCGAGATGATCGCGGTTTCTCGATTCCGCTCGGCATGTCCCCCCCCCTCCCTCGTCGGCAAGTTGCGTCGAGAGGCGCGCGTGGGGGCGTGGGAAAGGGGGGCCGCCTCTAACAGAGGGGTCAATCATCGCATCTGCTATGGCATCATCGAAGAAGCCATGGTGAATGATAGGTTCCCCCCCCTCGGAGAGAGGCGGGGTTCGTTCTTTCGAGGCGGAAGCTTTTCCCACTCGAGAGCGCGCGTTCAGGTTGGGGTGCCAGATCGGGGTCGCCTGCGTTCATCGCGGGCAGCCTGACTCTGTCTCTCGCCGCCCGTGGATTTGCCCCCCGCGTGAGGCTGCGCTGTTCAGAGTCGGAGGTGAAACGAGATGCTATTCAGATGGCTTTGGAGGCTGAGGCTTCTGGGAGTGATATCTTCCCCTGTCTCCCGTTGAGCTTTCGCCCATCCCGCCGGCTCGTGTCCCGAGACCTGCGCGGAGGCAGGCGATGGTCCGATTCTCCACCTAGCATGTTCAGGACCTGATTTCGCCCGACGGTCAGCCTCCGTCTAAGTTTCTTTGGGGCCCCCTGTTCATAGATGGATCGCGTTCGAGACGCCCCGTCCGTGAGCTGAGCAGAGCTGGCACGTGCATTGCGATGGCCAGTGACTCTGGGTCGCTTCTCGTTGAGTTTCGGGCCCCTGTTTGGGCCCCATGTCCTCAGACCCCTCAGAGTGTTGAGTTCTCGGCGTGCACGTGGCCCCGCCCCCCCGCAGTTCTGGGGCGCTCCTTTGCCTTGTCTGACCGCGCCCGCGCGGCGCATCGGGCTGCGTTGCCGAAGGGGGGGGGGGTGGTGCTCTCGGGTATGCGCGTGTACTCGGGTGCTTTTTTTGTTTTTCTTCTCCTGTCCTCCTCGCTGCTGCCCCGCGAGACCGTTGCTCGCAGGGGTGCCGAGGAGGCTGGTCTTGACAGCCGCGAGGGGCGGGGGGGGGTCGCGCGCGCGGATTCTGGCGCTGAACGCGCCGTTAAACTCCACCCCATCGGATCGAGACTCGAGGCCATATACAGACTTGTCCGCGTCGCCAGAAGCACGGTGCGCCTTGCTGCCGCATCTTGGAGTTCTGGGGGCCTTTGGATCTGTCGCCGGCGGTTCTGGTTCAGGCGCCCCCTGTTGAGCAAGGTCCATCGCGCGGATGGCGATGATGAGCTGGTGTTTGGAGATGCGGGGTTTCCCTGAAGGGCGAAAACTGCGTTTCCATCCCTGCTCCTGGGCGGCGCCCAGGGGCCAGCGAGCTTCGCGCCGGCGTGCTAGATGTTCCAGGGCACCGCGTCGTCGCCCTCGATCGCAACGCGCCCTCTTTATTTGTGCGAAGTGCTACTGCCGTTGAAGCGGCGCCAGTGTCTGAGGACTTGCGCTCCCTTGTACTGCGCCCGCGTGGGCGACGAGGAAGGGCCGGCCCACCCCGTGCAAGCGCGGCACTCATCCCCTTTGCTGCAAGAAGGGGGTGAAGGTCAACGCTGACGGCTTGGCGCAGGGTTTCTAGTCGTAATTCTGTTTGGTTGAGCCGGCGCCCCCCGCCGCCGCCGGCTGCAGAGCCCGTGGCGGAGCCGGGCCGTAGGGTCCAAAAGCATCGTCGATGGTGGCGCGCGTCCTGGTGATGGTGGCGCGCGTCCTGATGATCGCGAGTTGCCTGATGGGCAGGCGATTCCTGCCGATGGGCCCCTGATGCTCTTCCTGATGTCCTCGGTTCCCCGGCCTGTAGATGGGGGCTCGCACTTTAGACGTTCGCAACGCAGCGGTGACTTGTTCGTTCGGTCGATTTCGAATCCTGTAGAAGCCAAGACCTTACTTTTGTGCAGAATTCTTGCCTGGAGGTCAGAACTGGCCACGCTAGACGATGACGTGGGGGCCCTTTCCTCTGACCAAGCTGCCGGTCGCGGGAATGGAGAAGTCCGCAGGGGGCATCGTGTTGTCACGGGCAAGGCCGACCGCGCGCGCGATGATGTGAAGCGCCAACTAGAGTTCGCATTGTCGACGCTGTTTTCGCTGAAGGTGCCGAGCGGGGGGAGGGGGAAATCAACGCATCATCGTCGCCATCGCCATCATCACCATCATTATCACCATCGTCATCGTCGTCGTCGTCGC